TCACCACCCACCGCCAACTCTTGGGCTACTCTTTTACCAACGAATAGTGGGATTGACCGTCACATTATAACGCCCCCACGGCTGAAAGGGCGAGCATGTTTGGTGGGATGGGGATGCGAACCCGCGACCCGCAGATTGCGAGTCGAGCGTCCTAACCACCTGGCCATGGTATTGCTTAATTGTAGTAAAATTTGTACGGCAGTTTTTAAACATCTCTTGATTTTTAAATTTGTGTTTTTAAATACAGCTTATATGTTCTCATAGCCATAGGTGCATTTCCAATACCGACTCTCCGCCACTCCACTTCCCCGAGGGGGCGTGCCCCACAGTTTGCGCACCACGGGAGGGGTGGGTAAAGAAATACATCGATCACTAACTTTTAAAGTTTCTACTTCCATCGTGAAAGTCCAGCGTGTTAAAGGATATTTAATTTGATTTACAAATTATTCAAAACAGCTTTGAGGACTATTTTCAGTTTCTCGCTACCCTAGCGAGAAGATATATAAACTATTTAAGTCGATATATTTTTAACAAAAAATCGTCATATATTTTGAAATGAACAAGAAAACGATTTATTACCCTACTATTTTTTTTAGTTTTTCCTGGTGGTATGAATCAGAAGTTGGTGTAAATGACATGCTGCAGGATGTAAGGGTGTTTCGGTAATCTTGTCGACAGAACTTGGAGCCTTCACATTCGTGTTTCTCCGATGTTTTGTTCTGTTTATTTTGGCAACTACAGTGGCTAAAACGTATATAGATCTAGGAACGTAAGCTTAAAACTATTTCGCCTCGGTTTAGTTTCAGTATATCCTTCTTTATATATCTGCAGCAAACTAAGGTGAAGAATTAATGAACTAGTTTCTCAAAGAAGAAAAACTTTATAGAGTGGGATCCATTTAATTAATGCTGGTGTAGTTCCAACCAGTTATACCAGTTCCAATTTTTACATGCATTCTTTTATGACTACATTTCTCGTAGTGCTTGAGATCGGCTGGTATTTTTGCATTATTTATATACGTGGCTTGTTTGTTCAGTTGAACTACACCTTATACACACAATGGACCAAAAAAAAAACGGCTAGGTTATAGAGATCCCTCTGATTCAGACATACCTGCACCTAATTTTGAAATGCAGACCACAGGAAAGGCAACAAGTCGACAGTACCCGTCTCCTGAAGCGTCTACTCTTAACCTTAATTGACTGTCCGTGTTGTGACGCACCCACAGTTAGAAAGTCTCGAACCCGAGACCCTCGGATACCTCAGAATAACACGTTAAACACCAAGCCACAAAGATATAATGCAGATATGGGGTATGTTTGTTCACGGTTTGCTTCGCACGCCCGAGGTGTGTGAGGAATTAGCTTGAATGTAAAGTATGATTTATTTGTATGGACCCTAAATCCGAGGGCTAGTAATCCGTGTCTTCTTACCGCATTTTGAAGTTGTGGGTGTTCTTTAACAGTAACTGTGAATTCCCTCTAAGTGGTCAGTTGTTTGTTGTTAAGCGCAAAGCTATACAATGGGCTATCTGTGCTCTGCCCACCAGGGGTATGGAAACCCAAATTTTAGCGTCGTAAGTCACTGGGGGACCTAATTGGTCAGTCAAGAGTAGACCTAGACTGACCGGCGAGTGCTTTTGACTTGTGTGTAGTTCATCAATTCAAAATCAGGGACAGCTATGCACAATTAGCTGTTAGTGTAGCTTTGTGGGAAAATCCTTAAAAAAAAGCAAACAAACTGTAGGATCTCTAGCGGGCTGTGACGCCCCAGTTGAGACTAATGCACTATGATTAAAAATATTAAACTAGATGTACTTTCGCAGGGTACCCGAAAGTGTTCTGATTCAAGAATAAATAAAACCAAAATAAAGAGTAGCAAATATTTTTATTTCTTGCTTTTGTAGCCTGTGTTGTAGCCTACAGAGTGCATAACTTTTCTTGTGATTTATGACATGCCCACGGGTTACTGACGTCACGACAGTACAAATTGCAGCGTTAAGCGCATCCTATGTGACGTCATTTGAGTGTCTACTGACTGACAGACAACACACTACTGTATAGTGGCGCGAATGGTTAAAACAATTTACCTCTCCAGGCGGCCTTCGGCCCCATTTCGGGGTAAAAAAAGAATTTTATTTCTCGTTTTTCCAGCTATTGCTCATCACAAAAATCAATTTGTTTGTTTGTTTGGAATTAAGCACAAAGCTACATAATGGGTTATCAGTGCTCTGCCCACCACGGGCATCGAAACACGGTTTCTAGCGTTGTAAGTTCTCAGACACGAAAACCAGACTAACTTTGAGAAAGAATTTAAGAATATAATTTGTATTTCAAAAAATGAAAACAAAATCAAAACAATTCTTGTCAGTTTCTTAAAATATTTATAACTCTATGTTAAACTAGAAAGAACATAAAAAAACATATAATTTACACTATTTTTATTCAATGAAAAAGATATAAATTTAGCGTCGCATTGCAGGTAAGTAAAAAAAAATTCCTAAACTTTATTCCATTACCTAATAGACCTAAGACCTGATCTACTTTAGTATAAGCATAGAATATTAATGAGTTTTTTTATATTTTTTAATGCTGACATTTTTTACTCTCTCTGCATATTGAAAGTAAATATTCCCACAATTTGAACGGATATTTGTTTCTGTCTTTAACATTCAAATTTAATGACATTCTTTTTTCAAGATCTTTTCGGGACACGTGTCTTAAATACTTATCAATAAAATAAACATACTTTGAATGAAATGCGCGCGAAAATATTCATGCTGACCGGTCACTTAATTTAATTCAGACTGACCAGTCTAACTTCGTACTATACTTCTCCCAACCTAGATTATAAGTGGGCCCAGTACGTCCATCACTGCACTTGTCTGATAAACAGTACCCAGAGAAACGCCAGTCCTGATTGGGTTCACTAAATCATCTATACAATACGAATAGCGTGAAGCTCGAACTCTGTATTAAGTCATGGAAATGATAGAGTCGGACATCTCGGTGAGTGACCACTTGTATTTCTCTTGATGACCAGATGAAAAAGGCCCAAAACTACCGCAACGGTCTGAAGTCTCCACCGTTTCCTAGCCCTTCTCTCAGTCGTACACTGCAAAGAAGATAATTCAGTTTGTAAATGTTGCACTTTTGGAATGCAGTTATCAATATGACATAAACAATAAGTTTTTTTTTTATTAGAGACAGTTTAATGCAAACGAATAAGTCGATTCCTCCTCTTTGCTGAGTAATGAGCTACCAGAATAATGAAACTTTACTAATGTCAGAAACTAAGAAAAAAAATGCCAATAAAGTTTACAAGAAGCAAACCAAGCATTCCATTTGTTACAACAGAAAGTAAAAGAAAAAGTTACAATTCTCCTTTTCAAATGTTTTTTTTTCCATACGATAATTGTGGGTTTCGAAACTAATAATGTTTACTTTTTCCTACGTGATCTATTGTTTATAGTAGACGCAATTAGTTTTGTTTTGAATGTGTATTTTCTTATTTATAGCAAGGCCACGACGGCTATGTGCTGTGTCCACCGAGAGAAATCGAACCCTTAATTTTGGCGTTGTAAATTCGAAGCTGTCCCATCGGGAACATTTGTTTTGAATTTCGTGTAAAGCTGCACGAGGGATATCTGCGCTACCCCCCCCCCCCAAAAAAAAATTTAACAGTGATAGACTGGAGGAAAAGCAGGTAATTGTTT